CACATCCCCTCTTCACTGCACATAACACCATCGAAATGGAAACCCAAATTATTCGAGTCGATCCTAATTCACTGTACCTGAAGTAGGAGCTGCGAGATAGAATGAGTCGGTGGAGATGGTAACTGGATCCCATGGCTTTGACAACAACATCGGAAAAGGAACCAGAGCCGAAACCTTCAGATTGAATATGATCGCATAAAGAAGTAAGATTACAATCCAGAGAACCACGAAGCTCCGATGTACTCTGATCACTTTCACCATGAGAAGGAACCGGAGGCGATGGTTGAGGAGACGGTGGTGGAGGAATCGTCATCCTCATTTGATGATGCTGCTGCTGGTGATGGTGAGAACCCGACGTTCTAGGGTTCCGATACTCTTGGTCCATGAAACCGACGCCGGAATTGTTCAACGGATTCAATTTCAAAACGAAGAAATTAGGGACGAGAAAAGGGAAGCCATTGAAGACGAAAGAGAAGAAGCTCTGTTGCGTGTGGCGTAGAAGTGAGAACTTAAAAACGACGTCGGTAGATACACTGATAAAACGTCGTCGTTTTACAAAACCAATGATTAGTGAACCGGAGGATACCAAATTCAATAACCGAATCCAATTCATCTAACCGAACCGACTCTTATGACCGTTGGAGCCTAAACCTTCTCAACGGCTATCTTCATCTTCTTCCTTTTGATTTTTTTTTTTTTAATAAAGGAACAAACTTTTCTCTTTATATTAACTTTGAAACCCCACCATTGATGATTCCACTAAACAATTCTCAAATCAAAGTCTCTCTCTTTCTCTAATCTCTTTGAATTCGCTAAAAACTTCCATCAATGGCGCTAAGGAACATTGAAAACGCTCTTCCGATCTCACAAGAACGACCTAAGAAGGTGCCTAAACTCTCAAAGCAACCGGAGATTGGTCTGAACGACGAAAACAACCCCGTGGTTCTGCCTGAACCAGCCATTGAATATGTTGCTTCTGAAAATCTCAAACCTTTTCCAGATCCAGAATCGTCTGTCCAGGTTTCAGATTCGCTCACTTATCGAGTAATTTTTTTTGGATGATCATAGATTTAAATCTGATTTTTGTTTGGTTTTTTTAATCTATTTGAAGAGATTACTAGAAGAATTAACATCAAAGGATTGGATTAAAGTATGTGAATCACTGAACAACACAAGGAGATTTGCAATTTATCACTCTTCTCTGTTGTTACCGAACCTGTGAGTATCTTTAATTACTTGATTCGATTTTTCCTTAACCATAATCTGAAGGTTATAGAGGTGGTGATGATTTTTTTTGTGTTTTGTCAATTTGAATTCGCGTAGAGAAAAGCTTATTGTTGTGATGGTGAAGGCGATGAAGAACCCGAGAAGCGCATTGTGCAAAACTTCGATTATGACTTGTTCGGATATCTTCAACGCCTTTGGTGAAAAGTTATTTGAAAAATCTCATTTGAAATCAATGGATGATCTGGTAAGAAAAACTGTGTATTTTTAGCACTTTGAATCAAAGTCTTTGATAGTTAACAAATAGGTTTAACAATTTTGCTATTTTCAAATGGTTATGAACAGATATTGCAGCTGCTAATGAAAGCTTCACAAGATAAGAAGTTTGTATGTGAAGAAGCAGACAAAGCACTGAACACGATGGTTAATTCCGTGGCTCGTTTTCCGCTTCTGCGTAAGCTTCAAGCTTATGTCCGTCACAGTAACCCTCGAGTTAGAGCCAAAGCCGCTATGTCTACTTCCAACTGTGTTTCTAAAATGGTATCTTCAGTTCTTTAAAATGTTTTAGAATGGTCAGAGAAAATGTATCATGTTCTTGGATTGTGATTGAATTTGTTGCTCTATATGTTTGTTATCAGGAGCTAAGCGAAATGGAAGAGTTTGGGATGGTTCAGATTGCGCAAATGGCTGCGGATTCGTTGAGTGACAAGTTGCCTGAGGCAAGGGAAGCTGCTAGAAGTATGGTGAACTCGATTTACGAGAAATTTACATG